TTAAAAACTATACTATTCTATTAAAAAATATTGAATATAATATAAATAATATTTATAAATTATTTTTTAAATAATTCTTTACTTATTATTAGTTCTTGCAAAGAATATAAGCTTTATTTCAAAATCTAAACTACTTTTATTCTAGCTAGAATAACCAATATCTCAAAAAATAATAACCTAGATTTAACTACTCACCATCACCTTACTACTGAAATATTAATATAGCTAAAAAGCAATCTGCCTCTAATTCTAATAATTGGGAACGATTGTTAGACAATTATTCTATCAGAACTGCTCTAACTACTTATATCACTGAAACCAATAGAGAAAATACCAAGCCTTAATCTATTAGTACAATTATCTCTGTTAAATGTTATATTGATATTCAAAATCATACTTACCCTGCTATTATTAACAGTAGAGCCTCTGTCAGTATGATCTCACACCAAACTATAAAAGAACTAGGGCTTAAAATTGAAGAGCTATCAAAAAACCTTATTGTTGCTGCTACTGGCATCACCTCCAGATCTCTTAGAATTATTATAAATTTGCCTATTAGAATTCAAAATCAACTTATCTCCTTGGATATAGAAGTTGTACCTGCCACCTCTTATTCTATTCTACTTGGTAATGACTGGTCAAAAAAAGTAGAAGCCAATTATAATTGGAAAATATGTCAATATACTCTCTATTGAAAAGGAAAGAAGACTGTTTTTGATACTTCTTATAAGCAGAAAAAGCCTAAGAAAAAGAAACCAACCTACATTACTGCTGAAGATTTTGAATTATATGAGCAGGAATATCTAACACTTCATAAAGTCTATACATTTTCAGCATCCTCAGAAAATGAAGACCAAGAATGGATTACCTACCAATCTCGACAAAGAAAATCATCTTGCAAAACCTGTGGTCAAGCTAACTATCAGTATAAGGATTGCCCCAGAAACTAATATTATTATTGCAACAAATTTGGACACGTAGTTATCAACTGTCTCAACAAACGTAAAAAGTTAAATAACTATAGAACTTGTAGACAAACTAATCACTTGTTCAAGGATTGTCTAGACAACCAATACTATAGCTATAATGAATTTAGTCACATCAAAATTAACAAAGACCAAATAGAAGAAAGAAGAATGACCTACCATAGTAGAAGAAGAACCCATCATTGTTGTAATTGTTGCATCCCTCAACAACCTGACAAACTATACAAATTAGAAGAAAAACTTGCTTGTATTGCTTGTTACAAAACATACTATGAAGCCCTTGATTCAGAAAACCCCAGAAGCCAGGAATATTATAATACAGAACTTGATAGAGGAACTCTTGTCTGATACAAACTTTATAATATTCAGAAACCCAGATCAAGAATGCATAATATAGAAAGCATACGAGAAGAATTGTAGTTCTGTGAATTAGAATACATGTATATTTATAAAATCTTTACAGACCTTCAATATAATCCAAACTATAAGATTTAAAACAGAATCAGGTATTATACTGAGTCTACCAGAAATGCTGGATATCAGTATGATTTGAACCAAAACCGAATCTATAGTCTAGTTAAAGTTTTACTTGATAAAGAATATAGAAGCATAAAAAAAGCTATGGAAGAGCAAGAAGATAATAAATATAACTGAGAATAGACCCCTGAAGAGATTACTATTCTATTTTGAGCAGAGCAAGTATTGCTTACAGAAGATGAAGAGGCTACCTTACAACAGGTCTTAAATAAATCATTTAATACTTCTTAACCTGACTTTGATACCTGCAAAACTATTGAGAATTTAAGGAAAAATTTTGAAGAAAAAGTAGCTCTTTGCCAAGAATACCTCTTTGCTAAACAAAGTACTAAATTAGAAGCTAACCAAGATCTTTGTGATAAATGCTATCAAGAAAAAAACAAACCTCCTCCTGTTGAAGAAACAATTACAGAAGAGATATATCAGATAATATTATTACTACAGAACAGCTCATAAAAGAAATATATCATGATAATACTATTATGGTAGAAAGACTTGATATAAGTGAGGATACTATTTTCGAGGAGAGGAAGAATAAAGAAAAAGACCAAGTTATTGTCTGATTAGAAGCCAGAGTCCAATACTTGGAAGAAAATTGTAAAAAGATAATGTAATTTTTCTAACAACAAATCCAATATCATCAAGAACAAGCTAATTATTATGCTCATATAACATTCACACAGCAAAATTTTTGAGTTATCCTAGGCAAAATGAAAAACTACCTAAAGATTTAAAAGAATTACCAACAAAAAAAGAAGCTTTGCAATAGGCTTTGCAAGCTAATGCCCTTAAGTATAATTTTGTATATACTATAGACATTTTAATTTCTTATGAAGAATTTATATTAGAAAAGACAGATACTGTAAATGTAGGACCATTTACCAAAGAACAAGAACAAGTATTTAAAATCTTGTTAGAAGAATTTGCTAACCTATTTGCTAAGGATATTACAGAACTTGGCAGAACAGATAAAGTTAAACATAAAATTTATACAGAAGATGTACCACCTATCAAACTACGACCTTACAATATCCCTCCAGATAAACAAGAATTTATTAAACAAGAAATTAAACGAATATTAGACGGCAATATTATCTGACCCTCAGAAAGCCCTTGGGCATCACCTGTTGTTCTCGTGCAGAAGAAAAATAAAAAGTTAAGATTCTGTATTGACTACAGAAAACTTAACAGTATCACTAAGAAAGATGCCTACCCACTATCTCAAATTCAAGAAATGCTAAATGCTCTCTCTGGATCATAATGGTTTTTAACTTTAGACCTAGCTAGCAGATATTAGCAAGTCATGATGAACTCTAAAGATAAAGAGAAAATTGCTTTTATTACAAAATATAGTATCTATGAGTTTAATATAATGCCATTTGGACTATATAATGCCCTACCACTTTCCAACGACTCATAGATCAAGTTTACAAAGGAATTGCTTGAAAGTTTGTAGTTGTGTATCTTGACAATACCAATGTATACTCTTGAACATTTGAAGACCATTTGAAACATCTAAAAATTGTGTTTCAACAGATAAGAGATGCAGGATTAAAACTTAATCTCAAGAAATGCAACTTCTGGATGAAGTCTTTGCCTTTTTTAGACATATTATTAGCTCAAAAGAAATAGCCCCAGACTCTTCAAAAATTGAAACTGTTTAGAAGATTCAACCTTCAAAGAATACTACCAAGTTACGATTTTTTCTTGGTTTAGTTAAATATTATCGACAATTTATTCGAAACTTCTCTGCTATAGCCCAACTCTTGAACCAACTATTCTATAAAGATGAACCCTATTATTGGGAAAACAAACAGCAAGAAGCATTTGATATTCTTAAAGAAAAGTTAACCCCTGCACCTATTCTAATCTACCCTGATTTTAGAAAAAAGTTTATTTTTGCTACTGATACCTCTTACCATAGCTTTAGAGTACTTTAAGTCAAAAGAATAGAGACAGAAAAAAACATCCTATTGCTTATGCTAGCAAAGTTTAATAGCAGCAGAACAAAATTACTTTGCAATGAAACTGGAATGTGCTGCCATTGTATAGGCTATTGAATATTTTCATAGCTATCTAGAAGCTACTGAATTTACTCTTGTAACTAACCACCTTGTACTAAAATGGCTTAAAACTGTAAAACCAAAAAGATGAATTGGACAATAGATTTTGAAATTACAACCCTACAACTTCACTATCATATACAAACCGGGTAGAATTTACTCCAATATAGATGCTCTCTCAAGACTCTGACCACCAGAATTTTAATAATGAATTTAGATCAATATCAAAATCTATTTAATTATTTAAATTCTGACACCTTACCTTCTGACTTTACCACTTATCAATGGAAACAACTTCAAAATCAGGCTAAATATTTTATAATTAAAAATGAATATTTATACAAGAAAAACAAACAAGACTCAGACAAACCATTTAGAGTTATTAAATAGACTGAAGTAGACCCTATTCTATATATGATGCATAGTCTTCCTACTGCTGGACATTTGGAAATAGATGCTATGTACCATAAAATTGCAGAATGATATTATTGGGACCAGATGTATCGAGATATTAAGGAATATATGAAGACCTGTGAAACATGCCAAAAAGAGGCAAGTATAAGAGAAAAGAACCACTATATTCTATCAAAATAGGACAAGCCTTTGAGAGAATTAGAATTGATCTAGTAGGACTCCTACTTATAACTACTCCAACAATCGGTATATTATTGTTGCAACAGATTACTTGACATGTTGGCCAGAAGCACAAGCTGTACCAGATGCAGGAGCCCTAACTCTTGCTAAATTTATCTTTGAGGAGATAGTATGTAAACATGGAACCCCTAGGACTATTCTTTCTGACCAAGCAGAAAATTTCAGAAATGAAGTAATCAAAGTCTTATGTGAAAACTTTCTCATTCGGTATAGGTTTTCATCACTATATCATTCCCAAACCAATGGTATGATAGAAAGATTAAATAGAACTTTGTGTGAATCACTAGCAAAAGTAGAAACAAGTGAAGACTAGAATCTTAACTTGCATGTGGTATTATTTGCTTATCGAACTAAAAAGCATGCTACTACAGGATATACTTTATTTCAGCTAGTATATGGAAGACAAGCTATTTTACCAGTAGAATTAATTCTTTTTACTACTAAAACAGAAACAGAAATAAACTTAGAAGACAGTATATTATCTCGAGCTTTTGATCTTATGGATAAGTTAACAGAAGCTCAAGAGCAAGCCAAGAAGAATACAGAAAATTCTCAGAAGAAACAAAAAGAAAGACATGACAAGCGACTAAGGCCAGAAGAATTTGAAGTTGGTAACAAAGTTTGGATCCAATAAAAAGACATAGAAGCATCATGTTCTGTAAAATTTGAAGATAAAAAAATAGGACCTTTTACTATCTATTTTAAACTTGGCAACAGTGCTTATTAACTTATTAATGATAAAGGACAAGTCTTACAAAAGTATTATAATAGTAACAGACTTGCTCGATATTACGAATGACAATATTGGAAACCTCAAGTTGTTATTAACACTTTGCTACTCGAACCTTAAAACTTAAAAGATTTATTATTTATTTTCATTTATTTTATTAATTAGCATTTATTACTTATTATTTTATTATTTTATTAATTTATAACGATATTATTTATTTATTATTATTTATTTATTATTACAATTTTATTAATTATTACTATTAGAATTAGATTTAAAATTTCTATTTTATTATTATTATTTATTTACAAAATATTACAAAAATAATTTTTACTCTCATATTCTCTTATCCTACCCTTAACTCTTTGACTTCAATTTTTAAATTCGTCACTCGAGTTCTTAATCTATTTCTTTGGTGATGATCATTCGAAGCCAAGTTTCTTGGAAAAACCTTTCACTCACCAGTTCTAAAAACAAAAGATTCCTTGTAGATAATTCTGTTTTTAAATTTACGACTTGGTTATTTAAAGAAGACAAACAACCGTAGACTGAACTTTCTTTCCTGTGTTGAGGTATCTAAGGCACAAACTTAATTAAAAACTACTGATTTTTAAGTGTATAAACTTGAAAAATGATAAAGAAAAGAATTGGCAAGACCCTTATTCCAAGAATACAACAAGCAAGGTCTATTATTTGCAATACTAATGGAGATAAGTCCTTAACCTACTCACACAAAAGACCATGAGTATCAAAAAGAAAAGAGGAAAAATACAAGGAAAAAATATCTACTTGGGCCAAATATATAGTGCACCAAAGTAAAAGACCGGCCAAGCCCCAAGTGCCTAATAAGATGGAACTCAGCACACGGCCAGAACAAGTATATACACCTTAGAATAGTGTTCCGAAGTTCAGTTCAGTTTAATTTAGGTTCAGGTTCAAGTTCAATTGAACCTGAACTGAACTTTAAATTTTGCAGATCTTT